CTCTATTCAAGTAATGTCATAGAACTTTTCATTTCTTTTTTACCCCTTCTCACAAGATTCATCCAAGCTTTATTAAACCTCTTTTCAAAATCCAGTATAAAAGAATTATCCAGGTCACTTTCTTGGTTTATTATTTGTAATTCCCTTTTGATTTTTAAAGCATCACCTGATTTCTTTTGTATGTCCAATGAGACATCTTTTTCCATGTCATTCTTGTTGTCTGTCATTTGTAGATCCACTTTCAGTGTCAATTCTGTCTCTGTCTTGTCAGATAAAACTTGTTCCTCTTCTGCCATTTCATCCATAACAACTTTTGGATACAGTCTATCCATAGAAGCAAATATCGCTATTGAGATTGTTGATATTAATTTCTGATTCTATTTTTCAAAAGTGTCCTTCAGTATTTCCAATGTTATAATATTTTGTGTCATTCTGTAGATGTTAATCAGGTTTATGTGCTCTTCTCCTTTAATTAAAATCTTTAGTTCCCTCTAGTGTCCAATTTCTAAAATTAATTATCTGTATTATGTCTTGGAAAAAATTCAAAACAAGTCCACTTTCCCATGGGAAGGATCCTTTATAATTAATTCCAAAATCTTATTTCAAATGTATCTGGACCATTAATCTATTTATAACTTTCTAAAATCAAAGTCTTAATTAGCTTTTTGCTGTTTATTTCAATTTTGTTAAGTTCATAAGCTTGTAGTCAAAATTGTCCTTTGTTAAGTATTGAAGGCAAACTTTCGGGCTTGTCAGTCCAAAGGTCTCTAATAGCTGAAAAATAGTTAACTAGCAATTTCCAAATGTGATTATAAAAGGAAGTATACAAACTTAGTGTCCTTCTAAAGGCGCCAACCACAGTTTGAGCAAGATGGCTATTCCCTCATCTCCTAGTGCTCAAAACCTGCCAGAGACCACTGTCTTGTGGTCTCCTCATGAGGAGCAACTGTCTGGAGCACTTGTGGGTGATCTCCTGTCCTCTCTTTGGCTGGAGAGGTTCGAAGAGGTGGTCTACTCACCAGCTCTTCATTCTTCCCCATGATCATCAGCTCCGCTTTTTGCGGAGTCTCTTCAGTCTGCCATTTCTTCCACTGGAAGTCGGTTGTTCACTCCATTTTCCTGACAAACTGTGATGGACTGCAATAGAGCAGCAGGTTCTCAGGAAGGAGGGAGCACATTCCAGGAAGGGGGGTGAGACAAGAGGCAGCATAGTCTGGAGCAGGATCGTGGGAAGAGGAAGAGATTTAGGATAGCCACTCTCTAGAATCTCCCAGGGTATATCCATTAGGTTATAGTTGTACAGATTTAGTCTGGCAAGATTCTGCCTATATGGTGTAAGCAATAAAAGAACTGAACTTTTTTCAGGACTATTTCCCTGTTGTTCTTGGACTGGGCCTGACATCAGTCTTGCCAGACTAAACCTGTACTTCTCTAACCTAGTGGTTATATCCTGGGAGATTCTAGGGAGTGGCTATTCTAAATCTCTTCCTCTTCCCACAATCCTGCTCCGGACTGTGCTGTCTCTTGTCTCGTCCACCTTCCTGGAATGCGTTCCTTCCTTCCTGAGAACTTGCTGTTCTATTGCAGTCCATCATATCACCTCCCCTTCGTAGATACATTCCATCACACAAACACAGCTACCTATGTTTTTTGATAAATTAATTTTTAGATCCATATTCTTTGTGGTATCATACAATCTATCTAATATTTGCTACAAATTGTTCAGATTTTGAGCCAATAACTTGATTTCATTTATATACAAAAGTACATGATGTACATTCAATGATGTTTACATTATTTTTTAAATGTTAATTTCGAGGAAACTTGGTGGCATGCACACATCCATTATGACTTGGGAATATTCTGTTCCTTTTTTAGTGTCTAGAACAAGCCACTTCTGCAAAAGAAGTTTAGTGTAAAAGGAAGAAAATTCCATGTCTGATCACTTGTACACATCTTTTCCCAATACTTGTGTTTAGGCAGATGGCTATTTGCAGAATATTATTAATTTTCTCTTTATTGCTGTAAATCAAGGAGGCCGTCTTTAAATCCCCTACTTCTGTATCTTATGATATTCTTTTAGACTTGAATCAACTGTAACAATTAGTTGGATTAAAGTCTGTTTCATTGTGAAGTCTATGAAAGCTTTACAGAATACTAAAACTGTTGGCATTGACTTGAAGGTGAGGCAAGAATTTTGTTTGTTGTTGCTCTCCTTCTAGAATTTATTGATTTCTATGACTTCTCTCCTCTTGTAAAATTCCTTCTCTTTTTCTCCTGGCCTTTGACTTATTTTTAATACACCCCTTTCCTCTTATTTCCTAGCTGTCAGTTTGGGATTTTAAGATTCTTGGGAGCAGCAAAAACAAATATTTTCTGCTATAGGTCAGAGACAGAGATATGGTTTCCATAACGCGGGTTTTTTGGTTAAGTTCTTAGCTTCTCCAGCTAGGTTTGGAAATACTCTTGCTTTGAAACTCTGGAGAGCTATATTTAATAGCAGTAATTCTGTGCTAAATAGATAAATAGTGTAATAGTGTACTGTTTATTCAGTAAATTAATTTTGCATTTATCCATTTGTTTCCCCATAGCCACACTCAGCCCGGCCTGTCCGGAAGGTGCACACTTTTGGGAAGAGGGCAAACTCCATCAAGAGGGACCTCAACTCTCCTGTGATTATGCGTGGCTGGCTTTATAAACAGGTAAAAGGTTTGTGAGAAATGAAGAAGATTCCTTAGCTTGAGGGATGATGGACCTCAAGGGAGAGCTGTAGGAAGGAAACTGCTCATCTAGGGTAGCCAAAAATCAGAAAGTGTCTGGTAGAACCTTTTAAGGCTAACCAATTTTTATTTTAAGACATAAGCTTTCACAAAATTGGTTAGTCTTAAAAGTACTGCTAGACTCTGACATATGAGAAAGGAGGTGGATATGGGAGATGTTGGAATGAGACATAACTTGGAGTTTTTTTATGATGAAATACAATAAAAACCTACCAAAAAAAAGTTCAGTAGTGATTATGCAGTCAAGAAAGAAGATCTAGATGTATTATAGTGATTAAAATAAATGTGACAAAGGAAAAAAGAAAACTAATTAACAAAAAAGAAAGTTCCATATAATAATTATAGGTAATGATATAAAATTAATTCAGTCCTTGAACTTATGATTAAATCTAGACCATATAGAAACACATTGCATCATTGTCTCATTTTGAGATGAGACAAAAATAGTAAAATCAAGGAAAGTGGGAGCCAGTGGTTCCCACAAGATGACATGGGGACAGTCTTGGCTGTCCCTTTAGAGAATTTTTTTCCCAGAAGGCTGGGTCCTGTTGACATTTTCATTTTCATGATGATATATCATTGCTTTGAAGGGCTCTGTGGAGTCAGAAAGCTCTGCTGGGAAAGTCGGTATGCTAACGTACTTCAAGGATGAGGGGGCAAAGAAGATACTTTGACCAGAGTCTCCTCAGAACAGGATCCTTCTGCCCTCTAATGAAGGGGTGGCCCCTAAATCTTTTTCTTGTGGCTCTTGAAGCCCCTTCTGAATACTATTGCTGGAATGTTGGTTTCCTGCTGTCTTGAGATAGGAAACATGCTAAAACTGTAGTCTAAGTTTTAAATTGAGTTTAACATCATCTAAAAACCAAACAACTCCTCAAAATTCCCTTTTAAAACCCCAGGAAAAATGGAAAATTCTGACCATGAGTGTGAAATGGCCCCAACTCACTTGACATCATTGTACAAGCATGGTAGACCTGATCTCTTCAAAGAGTTAAAATTAGGTAATCCTGCTATAGTAGGTAAAACTTTGACATGGCTTTGTAATAACCCACCACCTTCCCTTTCTGTTTCTTTCAGGATAGCTCTGGGCTCAAACTGTGGAAACGGCGCTGGTTTGTCCTTTCCAATTACTGCCTCTTCTACTACCGAGGTAATTTGGATTTGCCCTGGTTTCTATTTGAGTTGCCTCTGAGGTGGAAGCAAAGCAATGGTGGTTTTGGAGGGAGGGCTGTTTTGTGGATCAGGTCTGGTCAGAGATCAAAGCAACATTCCCTGAGTTCTGGAAACAGATGCTTAAAAAGGAAATAGCAGCATTCTTCACCTTGTGTCTTCTAGATGAGTTGATAGCAATTATGGAAGTTAATTGCTCCCTAGTACATTCCTCCCTCTAGTAGATCTGGAGAGCACCAGGTTAGGAAAATGGAAGATCTTCGTTTCTTAGATTCACAAGGACTATGCCTAGATTGGGGGATCTAGGATTGTATGTAATCTGTATCCATCTCTTCTCCCCGTGTTGTAGGGCAACTATATCTTGGCTACAGCAGTATAGATGACCACTTTTGTTGTTGTTCAGTCGTTAAGTTGTGTCCGACTCTTCGTGACCCCATGAACCAT